CTGGCAGCAGCCTCCTTGCAGAACCACCCAATGTGAGGGCTCTGAGGCTGCGAAGGCTCCCTGTCTGGGGAGGACTGTGCATGGTGTGTGTGTGTGAGAGACAGACAGACAGACAGACAGACAGACAGACAGACATAGAGACAGAGTGTGCATGAGGGGAGGAGGGCAGAAGAGGAGACTGTGACAGTGACACCCATTTGTTACTGGAAGGGTGAGGGTGAGGACACTGAGCAAGCAACAGGGAGAAGGTGTTTGCAGGACAAGGGAGACAAGTAAAACTTGAGTGAGAAGTTCGGGGAGTTTTGGGGCGTGTGTGTGTGTGTGTGTGTGTGTGTGTGTGTGGTGTTTGTCGGAGGTTTCTTGAGAGAGGCTGTATCTGTGACTGGTCAGGTTAGCACAGGGTTGAAGTGGGGTATGTAGTGTGGTATGGAAGTGTGAAAGTGGGGTGCACTTGGGGGGCACCATGTGTGTATGAGGAAGTGCGTCTCTGGGAAATGTCTGTGAGAGGAGTGTTTCCGGAGGTTACAGTGGAAGCCGATTGGAATGTTGTGCGTGGAAGATTTTGGAGGAGGGGGGTAGGACTTTGTGTTGAAGGAGTGTGTGTGAAAATAATATGAGGCAGCAAGGGTACGTGTGGAGAGGGAAGCCAGGGTGACTTTACAGAGGGCGGAGTGTGTGTGTGGCAGGCAGGCGAGGCCTTGTGTCGGGGAGAAAGTGTGTGTGGTAGGGGAGGTGTGTGCGGGGTGGTGGAGGGTTGAGGGGATCTTTCATGAGGAAGGTTTGTGAGGGGTGATTTGTGTGTGTGAGGAAGCAGTGTGAGTAAGAACCATGGAAAATGTACGGGATTATATATTTGCAGGGTTTGGGGTACACAGAGCATGAGGACGGAGAGTCAGGGTGGAGTGTGGGGATGGTGGGAAGTGTGGAGCATGAGGGGGCCCCATACATGGGAAGTGTGGGGCCATTGTGGATGACAACAGTGTGTGTAAGGAATGTAGGTAATGTCGCATGCGTAGCATGATCTCCCTCCGACTTGTCCGGGCCTTCATCACAGACGCCTAGAATTATAATGGAACCAAAAGTAGGAGAAACATATTCTTATTCTTTTTATTTTAGCTTGACTTTCAATAAACACCATCCAAGAATAACCGATGTGTGTCGTTGCCAGGTGTTGTCACAGGAGTTTGCTTTTACTTGGGCCCCACCCATAACCAGGGCTGAATGCATTTTCCTCCCCTGTTTCTGGACTGTCTGGACACTGAGCAATCGTCCCCTCAACCCTCTCCATCCTACCAAGGGCAGAAGGAGGTACACCTCCTGCTGGAATGGGAAGGGAGGTCCAAAACACCAATGGTGAAGTGGGGGATTGAGTGTGCTCTTGAATGAGGAGAGTGTGCTGAAATAGGGTGGAGAGGGGTGGGGTAGGGGGATGTAAGTTTAGGAAGCCTGGCTGAGGTCAGTAGAGTAGATGGGGGGATGGGGGAGGCAGTGATGGTTGGGGGGTGGGGTAAGAGGAGCTGGATGTAGGCAGGGCAGGCTGGGAGGTGCCCCCTCAGCCCTGCACCAACACCAAGCACTCTGCCCCCCCTCCTCTCCAGGCCCGCATCTCATGGCTTCCCCCATCTCGTCTTTCTTTCCTCCTTGGCCCTCATCCCAAGGTGTTCCCAGCTCTCCAATCCCATGTCCACCCTCCGTGCCCCCAGCCCAGGCTGAGAAACCAGGAGTTCCAGACCTCAATTAGCAAGGTCGGGAGAGAGGACAGCGACGCCCCAGGTCCCTACCTTTAGACACTCACAGCCAAGTGCATCCCAGGCGCCCTCCAGGAGCAGCAGATGCAGCAACAGCAGAAGCGCGGAATCTGGCCCTGAGCTGGGGCTAGGGGAGATTGATTCATCCTTTTATACTAAATCCAACTCCGCCTCCGCATGATATAATGCCTATTGGGCAGAGTCACCCCACCTTTCCTGGGTACTTAAGCACTTCGTGTATATATACTTTGTGCAGGATGATTAATTTTTTTCAGCTCCATTGCTAACAGCTGGCGCTTAGACAGGATCACATAATTTTTGTAACTCCCTGCACTTGGCACTATTCTCTCAACATGGTGGATGCCTCTCCCAAATATTTGTTAGGCCTGCTGTCCTGGCATCATATGCACACTCCCAAAGTTCTCAGTAGCAGCCACGTGGACGCCTGTGTAACTTCCAGATGGTTAAATGGAGACAACAGTGAGGATTGGGGGGAAAGGACACTAGGTCTGTGGACTCCCCTCTCTGCTAGTCCTGCCTTTCAGAGGAATGTACCTGATATCACAAGACTAGAATTCTGATAGCTTTCTTTCTTTTTCAGCTACAACAAACTACCACAGACTGGATGGTTTAAAAGCAACATTAGTCAAAGAAGAGAGAAATCTGCCCATAAAGCTGAACTTCCAGAATCCGTTGCTGTGTCCATCTGCTTGATTTCACAAAGCATGTTGATTTGGAAGTGGGAAGACCTTCCTCCCGAAAGTCCACTCCACGGGGCAGCGGGTACTGTAGAGTGAAGGGAGAAGGGGACAGGAGGGGGAGGGGATGTTGGAGATGATAACCCTGTTTAAGAATCAAGGAAATGAGAGCCTCTGAGTTTACTTCTGTAAACAGACTGAACCGGCAACCCTGTTGTTCAGAGTTCACACTCTAACCAACTGAGCTATCCGGACGCCCTGAAAAGTGGATTTTATTTTATTTATTTAATTTTAAAAAAGATTTTATTGGGGAATTGGGTGAGGGGAACAGCGCTGGGGAATCGGGGTAGGGGGCAAAAAGTGGATTTTATACAACAGCCGGAGATGACCAGCTCAGTGGTTGGACTGAGAAGAAGCCTCAAAGCACTTCCCAAAGACAAATTTGCATCAAAAAAAGGTCATGATCACTGTTTGGTGGTCTGCTGCCGGTCTGACCCTCTATAGCAGTGGTTCTCAACCTTCCTAATGCCCGTGACCCCTTAATACAGTTCCTCCTGTTGTGGTGACCCCCAACCATAAAATTATTTTCGTTGCTACTCTATAACTGTAATTTTGCTACTGTTATGAATCGTAATGTAAATATCTTTTTGTTT